CCTTACCTCTCTCTCTCTCTACCTACCTACCTACCTACCGTAACCTAACCGTAACCTACCTACCTACCTACCTACCTACCTCCTACCTCCTCCTCCTCCTCTCTCTCTCTCTCTCTCTCTCTCTCTCTCTCTCTCTCTCTCTCTCTCTCTCTCTCTCTAAGAATCTCCTCTGGTGCTGCTAATGGTTTAGTGGCACCAAGCATCTGTATCGACTGAAGTCCATGACATGCTCGTTCAATGGTTCTTCTGGTTCTACCTCCATTTCTCCTTCAGTTAATAATCAGAGTCCACATTTCCTCCCAACCCGAAGCCATGAAAGCAGAAACCCTAGTTTTCTAGCCAAAAAAAAAGGTCTTTTGCAGAGAACACCAGTGTTCATCAAAAATAACATGAACCCCAAATTTGCAAAGACGGACAAGTTCTCGCAAAAAACCCTAGGGTTCATCAGAATCAACGGAAACCCTACATTTGGAGCGAGGGTAAGCTTAATACACTGAACCAAAATATGCAGAGAGAGAAAAGAGATCAGGAGAGGTAAGAGGGGAGGAGGGAGAGACCATTTGGTAAGGCGCAGGATTTGTGACAAAGTAATACCAATCCATAGTAGGAGCTAAAATAAAATACTCGACTTTATAAGAATAGAAAAGAGGCTTTGTATTTCTTTCAATTGGCATGTGAAAAATTTGCAATTTTTATGGATAACAAATTCCTTATATTTAACATCCAAACTGGCCCTAAAGTTCTTGATTCATAATTCCATGATCTAAGACTGATTTATATAGTTGATGGCTTCATCCATGCTTGATTGATCTAGTTTCCATGAGATTTCTTTTGTCGTTTATGGTGTTTAATTGAGTGATATATTTCTGAGATTTTGACATTAGGATCAGTCAATTAAAACTCCTAATTGATGGATCGAAATGGTGATTTCACATCCATACAGTTGATGGCTTCATCCATGCTTGATTGATCTAGTTTCCATGAGTCTTCTTTGTGAATTAGGACTGATATTCCTCTCGGATTTTGACATCAAGATCAGTCAATTATATCTCATATTTGATGGATCTAAATGGTGATTTTATAAGGTGAGACTATGGTGAAATTTCCTCGTCATACTTGTGAAATTTGAAACCGGTTGTTAGATCTAGTCGCTCCTTCTCCCCCACGTGGCCACTATTTGTTTTACCATTTTGATCTTTGAAAATACCTTCTATGTTTTCGAGTGTATATCAGTAGATGATTGGCTTTCCACCTTTGATACATTGAACTTGCCCAGAATTTAAGATATGTCATCACATGTCACCCTATGACACATGGTGAGACCTACTGCCACCCGAGATCTCCGATTGGCTTCCCATGATCATGTTGCATGGTTTACTTTAGTATTTGTGCATTTGTGACTTGGAGATCACGATTTGATGAGTTTTATGGTGTATAATTTGGCATTGTAAATTTGTATGGTGCTGAATTTTTAAAAAACATCTCATACAACTATCGTAAATTGATCTCCTTTGTGTAGTCTTGAGTTGTCTTGGACAAGAGACCCAAATTGAGTTGTATCCTCTTTACATTGAGTGTGTAAGAAGTGTTTGATGACTGAAAGTTCATTGATGTGGCTGTAATTGAGGATCGTAATGCCATTTGTGCTGTAACTCGTAAGAATTTTGAGTTGTATAGTCAAGATTATCATACATTGTCAAGTATAAGTTCTTGTCTTTCGGTTTCTATACACTCTTAGTACTTTGCATCCCTAAATAATTACCTATGGCAGTTGGTGATTAGGAAGAAATCCGGCCTCGACAAATCTGGTTGGCTCCCTAGATCCATGCCCAACCGTGCTTTGGGGGCTTGGAAAAGCATCGCTAGGAGTCGATATTCCTTTATGAGTTTCAAAACATTCGGCCCAGGAAGGCACTTCAGAACTCATTGGGGGGACTTTGGTGAGGGAACCCTATTTTCAGAAGGGCGCTCACTAATGAAGAATCCAAAGAACTAGCCAGCCTCATGTTGCAACTTGTCCCTGTTACCTGAGAGAGGCAGGTGGTCTCCCTCTCCCAGTGGCAACTTCACTGTCCCGTCCTTCTTCAAGGCCTCCAACAAGAGCTCCCACCCCTTCTCAAACCGACAGTGTGGAATATCCATATCCCCCATAAGATTCAAGCTTTCAATTCGATGCTACTGTCAGATAGCGCTCTGGCGATGAACCACCGACAGCACAGGTACTTGTAAATGCCAAATTGATGGGTCATTCATCTGCAAGATGAGGAAAATATTGGCCATCTATTCTTACACTGCATGGCAGCTTCAAATCTACAGTCCTAGCTCCTTTCTTGCGGTTGATCTTAGTCCACATCGCAATCCATCAAACAAAATTCCACTCTTCCACACCCCCCCTCGCCACTAGGGAAGCATGGGAGGGCTGGTCTATTCTTGCCGAGGTCCAATATGGACAGAGAGAAGCTCTGAGATTTTCAAAGTAAAAGCTTCCAGCCTTATATCCATGCATGACCGCATAAAAACACTCACAACCTTCGAGGGCCAAGGACTACAAAAGTCTATACACCTCATTAGCTTCAACCTTTGTGAATAACCGGATGGACATCAATGGTTGCTAGCCTGGCAACTGGGCCTAGTTGGTTACAGAGGGTATCCTACAAGGTCACCAACGAAAACCTCTATTTTTCTACTCTGAGTATATTGGCTTAGTCGATTCAACCATGACAAATCATCGCCCTCCTCGAAGGACTGAAAAGAACCATCATTTTTTGTATCCAATACGATAACCTCATAGTAGACGGGGACTCTCAAAACATCATTTGGTGAGCGTCCAGAGAAGCAACTTGCTCATGGAGACATGCTACTCAGTTTGATACATTCTCTCCATGTAAGAACATCCAGGTCTTGTCCACCCACATGTTGAGGAAGGTCAACCAGACTGCTGACCTTTTAGCAAAAGAAGGAGCTGCTATGGGCCCGATAGTACCACCAGTTCACACCGAAGACGACCAATCCCCCCTGTCTAACCTCCTTTCTTTCTACTCTCTTCCCAATCTCCAATTTCTGTCTAATCCATTTTGTCTCTACTCTCTTCCACCTCCCTACTCTATCTTCATTTTATCTCCACCCCTCATATATTCACAACTTTTTGGCACTGTGACTGTACAGAATATACTCATGTAACCACAACAGCCCCCCCTCCCGCCCACCCCCCCCCCCCCATCCACCTTCTCTCCTCCTTTTCTCTTCCTTTTCTACTTCTACAACAAGGGACATGTACATACCCCAATTTTGTTATTACTCGTGCCTGAGCACCTGACATATGGGTGACAGCTTTTTTGACTAAAGATCTGATGTAACATTTATGATATATTAATACAGTCACATATTTCTCAAAAAGAAAAAGAAAAGGAGCATGCACCAAAACAAATAGAACCTCTGAATAATTTTTCTTTGGGAGACACGAATCTCTAAATATTATAGTTTTTTCAGCCAATTATCACAAATTCCAAGATATAAAAACATTTCAACCATTAAAAATGATTAGAAAGTTTCATCCTAAATGACAGGACAGCAGCCACCGCTCAACAGAAACTAGTGTGTCCAAGAATTCAAAAATTTCAATATTCAAATAAATTTTGAGTATATCATAGACAAGCCAAAACTTACAGTGTCATTTCTGAAGTCATATTCCTCCAGCATTGGAAAATTCAAAGCATTAGGTAAACAACGTTGCTTCACCTGTTCAACCTGAGAATTAAAAAAAAAATCAATTTCAAAGCGAAATTCATGGAAACATGACAAGGTCACTCATATGAAATTTGACCAAAACTACTGAGGTACTTGAACCATGTGCCTAAGAGTAAGACTCAGTCAAGAAGTGCACCTGAGCAGGATCAATTTCAAAGGAATGGGTTTCCTTCTCTTCAGCTGCTGCTGCCACATCTACTTCATCAAGCAACTCCTGATGACCACCTTCTATTTCACCCATTGTTTTGCTAACTGTAAATGCATCCCCATGCAATGTAGATGCCTACAATATGCTACAACAGATAAGCTAAAAGATCCTGAAAAAAACAAAAAGCTTCACTCCTATAGCAATTATGATTAGCATGGAACAGCAATCTTAACAGCTGCCGATCAAAGATAGATGCATCAAAAAACTATAGAAAATGCAAGTTGGTCATGTTCACATCGATATGAAAAATATATATGGACATGATGTAACCCATCAAAGGTCAAGGAAGACCAATAGAGAAATATTGATCACTCATTTACAGATATAAACAAGATGTTTATCAACAGGGGGGAAAAATGAAACGTTCGATATGGAAAGAATGGCATGCTCTGATATAAACCCCAAAATGCAAATTCTGTCCACATGCCACGGCATCCACATTTTCCATTTGCATGCATAAATGTATGCAGGGGTCTGAATTTCAAGGTGTACTACATTATACTGTAGAGTATATCCCACATGATCACACTAACAACATAGGTACTTTACATCCAATGACCCACCTTTGATTTGAAGAATTGTTTGACAATTGTCCTCAGGGACCCCAAATCAGAATTACATTCAGTTAGATTCCTATTCTGCCACTAATGCTATCAAAGCATGGAAACAAAAGCAATCTAATAAAGCATCATAATGTATTTAGCCATCAATTGCCACAAATGTTGTTTCAGACATTCCAGCTATGTAATATTCTTTTTCGGAGTCGATGCTTCACATAGTCCCAGAGAAGGTTAGAAGGTTGGAATCTAGATTCCATATCACAAAATTTGTGATTCGTAGTTGTACAACAATATGATTCAACACGTGCGAGATGTTGATTCCAATTTTTTAGGAATCGCGAATCCATGTTGTTTAGAAGCGAGTGCCAGATCGTCAAAAGGCAAAGTTCTTCAATGCACCGAACAATGTTTCTATCAACATCAAATAAGTTCTAACGACACGCAATCAAGATTCAAATGCAAATGTTGAATGAAATAAGCTCACAAATTGTATGTTGCAGAAGAAGCTCCAAGAACCGATTCTATGTTACCAGAGGAGTTCCACAAACCCCTTACGTATCATGTTACAATTTTATACGGTTAAATACCCATGATTTGGGTTTCAAGACTGTGATGTTGTGAGAGCCAAAAAGCCTTAATAAACTTCCTAGATGAATCCATGTACAATAATCTTTGCCAAGTCACCCAATAGATTTATCAATCTATAAATCACAAAGTGGGAGGCAGTCCAACCTCAAGGTACGGCGTTTGGGTGGCAACCCCACCTCAAGGTAAGACGTTCATATAGAATGCTTGCAGTAACCAAATGCTTATTATTGGTCAGTACTACACCAAATAAAGGATTCTGTGGGGCATGTTAAAAGGGTGATCAATAAATATACTTATTAATGATCATTCATTAAACTAAGTAAAATGCTTATCACTCATTGTCTTATTGTATATTTGGTAGGGCATGGACTCAGACCCCTAAAAGAAAAAAAAAAGGAAATGGATTAACGGTGATCAAAATTCATAGCCACTTGCGGTCTTTGGATTTTGAGAAAAATACAACATCTTGATCTTTCAAGCTAATACCAAGCTATGGTATCTGCTTGGTTTACATAGATAATTTGGGTCAAGCTATCATATCATCTATGTAAAACGTTAAATCTTTTCTAGCAAAATACTTCTCTCTTATACCGGAGTGGATTGGTACACGATTCCTAAATTGTGGGAATCTCGATTCCCAATTGATGGGGACAATGATTCCAGTAATGTAGCAATCACAATTCCTATTTCGTTGAATTGCTATTTCGGAAGTCATTGAACTATGTGGGGTTATGTGCAATTCCTGAAAGGTAGGAGATTTAATTCCAATAGGGATTTGAATCATACAAATAAGAAGCACGGCTCTTATTTTATTCGATCACAATTCCTATTACTGAGAATCACGCCTCCGATGGTTTCATTGTACGGATGGCGATTACAAGATTATAAATCATTGAGCACATGCAATTCCGTGAATTTGCTTCCTGAAATGAATTGGAATCACAGGCGTTTCCAACAACCATGCCCTAGATCCCTTCCAAACAGTTCTTGAAAACTATATCGTCCAACATCTAAGCCAGTATATTTAAACATGACAAAGGCATCGAGAGGAATCTTAATAAGAACTTGTATATTGTATTTCTTTAGGAATGCAAAAGACCACAAATTGTAACACAATTTTCTGTTACAACATAATGATAGATCAATGGACATTCAAAAGTACATTACATATAAACATGTGTGAAAATGAGCATTATACTATTTTTCTGAAGTACAAGCCATCTATGTCAGCATCTAATCCACATTTCCATGCAAAGATGATTATGCCAGAACAAAAAAAAAATGAAGGATAGCTGATGAGGGATTTCAACACAAATGGAAAGCGAGTTGAGCCCAAAACAAAGTTATAAATGGCCACCTAAATGATCAGTTAACTTGAGAAACTAAGAAACCAGAGAGAGGCTAAATGGATCAGTTAACTTGAGAAACTAAGAAACAAGAGAGGAGAGAGGAGGGGGGGGGCAGACAGAGATGGGGGGGGAGGGGAGAGAGAGAGGGAGGGGAGACAGAGAGGGAGAGGGAGAGGGGAGGGGGAGGACAGAGAGAGATAGAGAGAGAGAGACTCATCCATAGAAATAGGATTACCTGGTCAGAGGAAATTCTTGCCCCAGCAATAGTACCATCCCTGAGAAGGGTCTTCAAAACCTACAAGTTTGGCCTTTGTCAGCAATATGCACTCACAAGTCACATCAATCACAAATTGCCTCCAAAACACAAAAGAAATACAACGATGGAATCCCAGTAATACCTCAGGAAATGGCGATTCAACAAAGTAACGATTTTTCTTGAGGACCAGCTTCACTTTTCCATAATTTGCAGTGGAACCATGGATGAAATCGATCATCTCTCTAGGAAGTTTTGTCTTCGACAATTTGTTCAGAACTGATATTATGGTTTCGGTTTCGAGCCCCACAGATACAGCAGCATACAATGAATGGGGCGTCAGGTTGTATTCATGCATTGATTCTGGCCTGCACATGGTCGAAGGAAGCAACACTCACCCAATCAGAAAACAAACAAGAGAGAGTGGAATTATGTTTTTATAAGCTCCGAGAGAAGCTGAACATCCAAAAAACAAAAACTCAGAGAGGAGCTGAGCTATACCTACATACAGGTTCGGCAATTGCAATGAGGAAATCGTAAGCTTGTTTGTACAATGGAGAGAAGGTCTCGAGAAAAATTCGCCCATCTGCGCAAGCCCACAAAGGTCTATTGGAGTGATCAAGCTTTAGTTCCAGTTTAGTGAAGTCCCTCTTCTTTCCTTCTTGTAGGCCTGCAAAATCGTTCTAATGCTGAATTTCCAGACCAAGAAAACCTAGAAAATCCTGCTAACAGGGATTTCGAAGTTCCTAGTTATGGAGAAGAGAGAGAGAGCATACCATCCCGAGAACTATCTTCAGCATCGGCAAAATCTGTGTCCTCGTCAATGCCAAAATCTTTGAAATCATCCTATGAAGAACACAAACGATCATTAAAAACATTAAGCAATTGAATCAAGGTAAGAATAGCAATCGATGGAAATGGAAAGGAATCAAGGCAAGAAAATTGCAGAAGCTTTGAATTCTTGAAATTGAAAAAACAAACGAAAACAGCGAAGGCTTCAAATTTTTAGGCTACCTTTGAAGACACCTTCAGTCTCTTGATCTGCCGACCTTTCTCGCCTGCAAATTACAGAAATTTACTCAAATCAGAGAATGAGAAAAATAAAGCGAGTAATTGCTAGAGAGAAAAAAATCATTTGCAGCCCTAATTCAAAGGTCTCTGAAGAACCCTACCTTGTCCCCCCATCGCCCTTTAGGCTGAAGCGTAAGACTCTGCAGCAGGAAGTGTGAGAAATGCTCGGGTAGAGAGAAAAACAGACAACGTTTAAATGGCGTAACGACACTACAGGGGAAAGCCCAATTTTGATTAGAGAATACCTTGGCGGTTCCATGGACATCACTGGATGGTGGGTGGCAACGGGTCGGTAGACCGGACCCGAAGTTATCGGACCGCACCTGACTGGACTTGGCCCAGACTACCCATCCTGATTAGATCCGACCTATAAATAAATAAAAAATATTTAAATGTTATGTTTATATATATGTATTATTTAAATATTATTATTAGTTAAATATATATTTAAGTATTATAATTAATATATAGTTATATATATTTAAATATTATTAAAATATTATTTAAAAACTAATGCCATTTGAGTACGGTCCAGGTCGAGTCTACATGGATTTAGACACGGACTTGAATAGTATTCTGATCCAAATCTTGAACCCAAATCCAACCCGCTAAGTCCACCTATACTCGGACCCGTGTTAAGTCGGGTAATCAGGTCCGAGGTCTGATCTGAGTCTATTGCCACCCCTAGCTCCAGTGCTTGCTGGAGGTGCGCCTTACTTTGATTATTCAAGTCTGCAATGTTATGCAAACCTCACCCTTTTTAAAAATTAAAAAAAAAAATGGCCTTTTAAAAAGGGAAAAAGTTTATATAGAGCTGAGGTTCTAAACAATCAAATTCGAGCCCACCTCAAAAATTTCACTAGAAGATATTGTTTTGATGCCCAAATATCATCAAATTCATCATCTCGATATCAAGATTCATGGACATGATAACAAAATGGATTTCAAGTTTTGGAAATAGTGTATTTTATAACGCACTTTTGGACGGTCAAATTTCAAGATTTTCAAGTTTTCATAGATCTCTCGATCTACATTATTTTTAAAGTTTTAAACTTTATAAATAAAGATGAAAATATATTTTAAGGCTATCAAAAAGATTTTCGGTATTAAAACCATATTTCTTGACACTATTTGAAGGTAGGTTCCAATTTGATTGTTTAGAGCCTAAGCTCTATACAAACCACACCATTTAAAAAATTATAAAAAGCATGAAGTTTGCATAAGGTTGCAAACTTGAATAATCAAAGTAAGGAGTGCCTCTAAACTTTGTCATAAAGATGTAATTTTGGTGTCAAAAGTTTTTAGGTTGACCCAATAATTAATTATAAAATTTAATCTCCAAAAATAGTTCAAATAATGGAGATCTATAAATGTATGAAAATCTTGAAAATGGACCTTCTAGATAATGGGTTGCAAGATGTACTATTTTTTTAATATTTTTTTAATATATTTTTTCCTTATATCCATACATCGTGACGTCAATATGATTAATTAAATGAATTTTCAATGTGCCGTTTGTATAGAGCCGGGGCTCTAAACAATCAATGTAGAGCCCCCTTCATATAGTATCAAGAAATGTGGTTTCAATACTGAAAATCTTGATGACAGCCTTAAAATATAGTTTCATCTTTAATTATTAAATTTAAAGCTTTGAAAATAGTGCAGATCAAGCAAATCTATGAAAACTTGAAAATCTTAAAAATTGACAGTTAAAAAATATGTTACAAGATGTACTATTTTCAAAACTTGAAATCCATTTTTTTATCATGTCCATGTATATTGATGTCGAGATGATCAATTTGAGGATATTTGGGCATCAAAACCAGCGTTCACAAAATCAAACCGAAACAGTTAACCGGACATGGCCTTGGAAGCGGTTTAACCGGCCCAACCGATAAACCAGCCGATTCAACTGCTCTTACCAGGCAAGTCTCGAGCGGTCAAAAAAATGTTGAAAAAAATAAAAAATACAAACAAAAATCTACTAAAGTATGAAAAACATGAAAAGAATGATTAAAACAAAACACAATCAAATGAAGTTGAAAATTAATGAAAAAATGGATTTTAACCCATTTTATATTTTTCAATGGCTATTTTAAAAATTTTTAAAAAAGATGGAAAAATATAAAAGTCAGTATTAATGAACAAAGCAATTTTTAATCTTTACCATAATGTAAAGAATATTTTTTAAAAAAAATTTACAAATCAAATTCTTTATTTTTGAGAATTTATATTCATTTTTTTGAATTTTTTTTTTAAAAATACCTGTTGATCACCCTAACCGCCCAAAACCGGAACCTGCCCCAGTTCCGATCTAACCGGGGAGTTAGCGGTTAGATTGGGCTATTTTGCGAACAATGATCAAAACAACCTCTTCTAGTGAATTTTGTTGAGGTGGGCTCTAATTTGATTGTTTAGAGCCTTGGCTCTATATAAACTTTTTTCATTTTCAACATCCGAAGAGCTTTTTTTTGTTTTTTTTTTGAGACAATTACATATATATCTGTTATGCTTTACATTATTACGGTTACACCTAATAGTTTATGTTATTACTCATTTGTCTGCTTTTTATCTTTCATAACACCTTTTTTAAAACACGACACTTTTGCCCTTTTTCGAATGTTCAACATCTGAATTTATGAAAATTTCGGATGTTCAACATCTGAAAACAGCAAGCTAGAACAGTCACGTACAAATTTCGAATGTTGAATATCCGAAAGTTTGAGAATTTCGGATGTTGAACATTCGAATTTTTGCGCGTCAAGACTTCCCTCACATGGGCAGAAACTTATATATTTTTATTTTTGTAAAGTTGGGAAAAACCGATCATTGAAAGAACATACCCCTTTTTATTGTCCCTTAATATAGTAACCCACAAAGTTGAAGAAATTGACTCACTATTTGGACGTGATTGGTACCGTTTTTACTCTTTCTTTATACTGATGATTAATTAAAATTTAGTTATCTGTTATTATTTAGAATATTTAATTTTGTTAATAACATTTGTTGTGTATTTGACATTAATACTTGAAATTTGTTTAATATAGATGAAGTTGTTTTTTTATATAATTATTTGTTGTTTGTATTATGTTGATACATTGTATTCTTTTTTTTGGCAAAATAATTGTTAAACTTGTTTGTTTGTAATAAAATTTGTTGTTTATTTTGTGTTTATGTGAGTATTACTCACACACTATTTTAATTTATTATGTAATACTCAGATTTTATGAACCCTAAAGTACTTGGCCAATTTTTGGTAATTTTTTTGTAAAACTAATTTTGCTATTCATGTAATACATGAATATTGAAAATCGCTACTGACAATTTTAGTAGTACACTATTTTAATGTATTATGGAATACTCAGATTTTATGAACCCTAAATTAGTTAGAAATATATCAATTTTAGCTATTTTTTTTATTGATTTTTTATAACCGTAACTTTTCTATTCATTTAATCCATTAGTATTGACGATGGTTACTGAGGGAGTGCACCTGGTATTCTGATATGGGGGGTCATTTAAGAGGAATGTTGGACCTGTTATTTATAAAGAATGAAAATTGAAAGTCACCAAGTATAATAGGAATAGTTCCTTGGAGGAACTAAAAAGTCATTTTACAAATTTAATCAAGTGTGATCCAAACCAATTAGCTGTTATGTACCACAACACAAGTATATCTAGCTTTATGAAGAGGTCACCAAATACTGAAGTATTGTTGATGCTGTTTTGGAAGGCTGCTCGTAAAGCGACTATTGGTGGGTTTGAAAAAATAATGTTTGATATACAGTGTGCCGACCCATAAGCATATGATTGGATTAAGAATATTCCACCCAAATTTTGGCCAGATGTCTATTTTTCAGGGTCTAGATACAATCATCTTACATCAAACATGGCCGAGTCTTTCAATGCTTGGATTTTATGGGCTCGAGAGAAGCCAATCATTACAATGTGTGAAAAAATAAAGATACAGTTGATGACCTGGTTTGAAGAGAAGAGAGAATTAGGTACTTGGAGCACCATGTTAGTACCGAAGGCCCAAGAATTACTTGACACGTAAAAGATGAAAGCTCGATTTTTGCACAAAAATATATCCACCATGGACATGCTTTTGAGATCCACTATTTTGGGAAGAAGTACACTGTCGATTTAATGCAGTGGACATACAGTTGTAGAAAATGGCAACTCAGTGGCATTCTGTGTGCCCAAGCTATTGCGGCCATTAACCATATGCATATGGATCCCACTGTGTACTGCCTTAAGTATTTTACAATGCAATACTTTAGAAGGGCATTTGAAACTCCCTGGGCACCTATCCCGGATGATATTGAGTTGACAGGTATTTACAACTGGACAGTGTTGCCACCAAGGACTACACGTCTTCCCAGTAGGTCAAAAAGCAATGAAGAATATCCTAGACGGAACATACGATCTCTAGGCCTTTGAAGTGCAAACGATGCGATGCAGAGGGTCATAATAGGAGGACATGCAGAGAACCGATAGAGTGAACTTCATGTTAATATTGTATTCTTGTATGGAATTATGATTTTCATGAATTAATGAATTGAGTGAATATGATGTTTTTGTTGTCAAAATTGTGTAAGTGCAATCAGAATTCTTTGTTGTCATAAATCTTCTAATGGATGAGTTTGCCACTCTTTGTGTCGAGATTGATGATTTCAATATTGAAAATCTTTGTGATAGCCTTAAAATAAGAAAAACAAAATTCATATCCATACATCCAGAAATGAGTTATTCTTATGTCCATGCATCCAGAAATGATGTCCATTTTTTTATCATGTCAATGCATCTTGATGTTCATGATCAATGTGATGCCTAAACAATTTTAGATGTTCAACATCCGAAATTGACATATTTTCAGATTTTCAACATCCGAAAATGGTACCGTGAAAATCCAGGAAGTAAGTTTTTGGATGTTGAACATTCGAAATTGTTTAGACATCACATTGATCATTGACATCAAGATGCATTGACATGATAAAAAAATGGACATCATTTCTGGATGTATAAACATGAGAATTACTCATATCTGGATGTATGGATATGAATTTTATTTTCTTATTTTAAGGCTATCACAATTGTTTCCATTGCTGATTATATGATTTTGGATGCACAGTAGTTGTTATTTTCACCACCATCAATCATAAGAAGTAATGTAAATAATGTTAAATTAATAAATCCCATTAATCTTATATCGAATGTATATTG